TGGTTTGGATTAATCTGAAGATTTTTCAGATCATTTCAGTTCAGATCGGTTTCAGATTGCATAAAAATCAATCTGAAAATTTTTAGTTCAATTCAGGTTTTTTTCAGATTATAATTTTAATTTGAACTGAAAAAAATTTGAACTGAACTGATAATTTCAAATTAATCTGAAAGTTCAGTTCGATTATATGTGAAACTCTTAGAAGATCGAAAATTTGCGAATTTTCTAAGAAAATCACAAAAATTTAGTGAAACTCTAGGAGAATCGCAAAAAATTGTGAATTTCTCTTTGAATTTTGCAAAAAAATTGCAAAAATCTTAGAGAATCACATTTTTTATGATTTCTCTTTGAATTTCACAAAAAAATCGCGAAATCTTTAGAAAATCACAATTTTTGTGATTTCTATTAGTATTTCACAAAAAATATCACGAAATTCTTAGAGAGTCGTAAAAAATTGCGATTTCTCTTCAAATTTTGCGAACCTCAAAGAAAAATTCATAATTTTTTGCGATTTTCTTAGAGTTTCGCATATAAATTGTGTATTTCTTATATAATCAAACTATAATTTCAGATTAATCTGAAAATTCCAATTCAGTTCAGATTTTTACCGGTCTGCGATTCAGTTCAGATTCGAATTGGCATTTTTAAGATTAATAATCTGAACTAAACCAAACTGAAATTTTCAGTTCAGATATGAATTGACATCTAATCTGGACTGAACTGAACCATTCAGAGCTTTAATTATCATCCTAAAAACAAAAAGAATTTAAGTTGAATTTAGTTAACTTTTCAAAGTATAAACTGATTTTTTTACTTTTTATAATAGAAACATTCTTCTAATTATTAAAATCAAACAAAATTTCTAGTCAATTTTTCAAAAAATAAACAAAAAAGAAACTGATTTTTTTTACTTTTTATAATAGAAACATGTCTTAAACTATCAAAATCAGATGAAACTTAAGTTAAATTTTAGTTAACTTATTAAATAATAACCTGAATTTTTTTACTTTTATAATAGAAACATGCTTTTATTTATCAAAATCAAATAAAACTTTAATTAAATTTTATTAATCAACCAGTTAAATTTTCAAATAATGAATTGATTTTTACTTCTACAATAAAAAAAAAATAATTTCAAATAATTTGGTGAGAAAGGGTAGATTTTTATTTTTATTATTTTATTTATTATTTTTTACATTTTTAGATGATTTTGAAAAATTTTTGGAAAAAAAAAAATAGATCATATTTTATTAATTTATTTTTTTTTCAAAAATAATAATATTATAATAATAAATATTTAGGACAATTTAAGGGGATTTTAGGAGAAAAATAAATTATATTTTTATTATTTTACATGATTTTTCTATTTTTTGCTTATATTTTTTAAATAAGAAATTAATCAGTGAGTTTTGGTAATATTTATATTATATTTTTGCAAATTATATAGATTTTTATTATTAATAAAATTTTATAATATTTAATAAATTTAATAAATAAAATGTATCATTTATATGTTTATTTACTGAATTAATGCTAAATTAAGGTTAATTTTAGGCTGATTTATGGTTATTTAAGTTCTAAATTAATGTTGAATAATGTTGAATTGAGGCTGTTTTTAGGTTGATTTATGGTTATTTAAGTTCTGAATTGATGCTGAATAATGTTAAATTGAGGCTACTTAGACTAATTTATAGTTATTTAAGTTCTAAATTGATGCTAAATTAATGCTGAATTGTGATTAATTTTAGGTTAATTTATGGTTATTTAAGTTTTGAATTAATGTTAAATTATTCTAAATTAAGGTCAAATTTAGGTTAATTTATGATTATTTAAGTTCTAAATTGATGCTAAATGGCTATATCTGATTGAAATCAATCAGTATCTATCAGTACATATTTGTATTAATTAGAAAATATAACAAATCAATCATAAATAGTTTCAAAATCAGCCTAAAATTGATTATCTGATTTTTAGCCAATTTAAACTATTTTAATCAGTGATATATATTAACATTTTTAGAATAGTTTATAATACAATATTCATAAGAAAAAAAGCAAAAGATCTACTAAAAAATATAAAGAATATTTAGTTAAAGAAAATAATTATAATTAAAGATGATATTACAACTAGTTGTAACTATGTAATACTTATTTATTATTAGTTGCAACTAGTTGCAACTAAATTTTTTATTAATGTTACAATTAGTTATAATTCTGCAATACTTATTTATCACTAATTATAACTAGCTGTAACATCATCTTTAATTATAATAAAAATACAAAAATTAACAGAACAACAGAGAAAATTAGTAGACAATAATTATACTATAATAGAAAATAAATATAATATTAATACTACTGTTTATTATAATTATAAATGAGTACAGAATATTCATGTTCTTATTTTGATTAATAAATAAGTAAGATTTATTATTTCTGTTTATATAAAATACATTATTTGGTATTTAAAATGAAGTAATATGCAAACAAATTAATTATATTCTTAATGAAAATGAAATTATAAGAAAAACCCTAATAATATATTGAATCAGTATTTAATAGAATAAAGAAATTGAATAAGGTAAAAACATTTAAAAATTATTTATGATAATGTGAATGAATAAAATAAAAATAATGTTACTATTTAATTTTACTTAAATTTAATAATTTATGATTATTAAAAAGTATTAAACTTAATTTTATGATATCTGAACATATCAAATTCAAGTGTAATAATAGTTTTAGATTGATTAAAAAATTATATTACAAAATAATAATAAATTGCATGAATCATATTATTGAAATTGTAAAAATTGAGTATAATAAAATTAAATAAAACTCAGTATTATAATAATAAAAAAGGTTTAAATATTTAGATCTTAATTCTGAATTAAATATTTTCTTTAAAAAGTTAATTAATTTATAAAATATCATATTTTTTTAAAAGTAATTAAATTTAAGGTTATTATAGCTTAAATAACTATTACTAATATTTTATTGAATTTAATTTATTGATAAGTATTTTTAAAATGATTAAAAAAATTAAATTCTTTTTAATTTAATCCTAACTCTTTTTCTTTTAGATTACAAAAGGTAAGAATATTTTTATCATAATATTTGTCTATTCATTAAAGATAAATTCAAAGATATTACTTATCTAAAACTAATATATATCAGCAATAAATAAAATATTTATATTAAAATTTCTTTAATTTTTCACGAGTATTAATACAATAATTTTAGTTTAGTTTTTTTTTATTTTTAATTTTAAAGCTTAAATAAAAAATATTAAAATAATTATATATTTAATACTTTTCTTATAAAAAAAAATTTAAGTATTATTAAAAAATTTATGGTAATAAAAAAAGAATTACAAATAAAAAAAAATATTAAATGTGAAAAAAATATTATTAAGTTTTTTGATTTATATAAAGTTTAAAAAAATAATAAGCAATTATAAAAAAAGCTCAAAGAGGTTTGAAATGAAAGTCAAATTCATATTGAAATTATGTAATATATTGATGAATTACAAAAAATAGAAGTAGATAATTTAAATAAAAAATATATGAATATTAGAAAATTCTGATAAAAAAAAATCTTAATATTATTGATAAAAATTCAAGATGAATCAAAAAAAAAAATTAGAAGTAAATGTAAATTTATAAAAAAAAATAAAAAAATTAAAAGAATTATTAACAAATTTTCAAAAAAGTAAATGAACTAAAAAAACTGAAAGAAAAAAAGAAAGGGTTTTAATCATATATAAATAATAAGCTTTTGCTAAATTGTCAAACAAGTTTAAAAGTTTAAGAAAAGAGTAAAATCTAGGTTTTAACAACTGATTAATAGAGATAAGCTTTATAAACAAAAAATTAGCTGCTCAAATAAAAGTTTCAGTTAAGTAATTTATGAAAAACTTCTCTATATAATCTTAGAGTTAAAAGAATAAAATCAAGAAACAACTTGCTCTTTTTATAATAACTTTAATAAAAAGAGCAGACTTATTATTTGTTAATAAAAACATATAGTAAATTAATAAACAAATTAATTAATAATGATTATGCTTATTAAAAGTATAAGAAAAAGTTTAAAAGTAATAAGTTGTCCAAGTGTAGCAAGTATGATAAATTACAAACAGATATTAATATTAATATTTATAATAATAAATATGTGATTATATTATATACAAAGAGTGATCACAGGTTTCTAAACGATTAAAAAACCATTTATATTTTTTATTTATTTTTTAAAATAAATAAAAATTTATTTGTTCTGAATATTATTTATATGTTTTATTAAAAAAAAAGTAAAATTTAATATTTGTTATTCCACCTTTAGCTACTATATATAATTGAATTTGATAAAACATACTTTTAACTAATTTTTAAATATACTTAAATAAAATAAACGTTAAGTATTTTTTACCTTATACTCTAAATCTTTTAAATCTTTAGGTTGATTAGGTAAGTTGCGTACCTTCTTATTAACTTTTATTCTAAAGATTCTTGATCAGGTTTATATCAGAATTTTGTGTAAGTTAAGATAACACAAAATATTTGAGGTATTATAAACATTAGTGGAATCTTTGATTGATGAGATAAAATATTATCATGAAAAATTTTTTATTTATGAGAAACTAATTTATAAAGCAAAGAAATAGAATTTTTTTGTAATAATTTTGCATATGTTTATCCTATTACAGATTCACAAAAAGGAAAAAGTGATCTTATCTTATACCATAAAAAGCATTTCTAAAATATTTGATTAGAACTGTGTTTTACTATAGTAGTTAAAAAAGAAGGATCAAATTCTTTTTTTGATATACATCACATATATAAACTATGATCTTGTAAAATTAACTAAATGTTAATCCATCAGACTATACAATTTTCTTCAAATTACTTTTTCTAGCAAATCTCCCAGATTTTATTTTAATGATTTTAATAGAAATTAAATTATAAATGACAGTTTTTTTACCTAGAAGTTTTTCATAATTGTCTTCTAAGTATAATAATAATTTTTCGATTTTCTCATCATTCCATCTTTTAGCGATTTGAGATTCAGTAACCTTTCTTGCTTCTTTTGCTCATTTTCTTTAGTTTTCTATAATTTAATTTAAAGAATAGTTTATCATTAAATGAACAAGCTTTTTTTTTGTAAAAAATAGTCAATTAACTTCAGATCTACTGAATGGCATTACGCTAACATTTTATTATATGTATTGAATATTTAGTCTTGAAACCAAAAAATTACCAGCTCTATAACCCATTAAAATATTATTTAAATTAGTTTGTATTAAAGGTGCTAACTCTAAAGGTCTTAGTGCTAAATTTCTTTGCTTAAAAGATGCTATTTTTAAAGGTCTTTATTCTAGTACTAAGGTCTTTACACTAAAGGTTTATATACTTTTAAAGAAAGTTTAACAGTTTAATGCTTTGAACATTTTTAAAAATGCGTAAAAAAAAGAATATTCAAAGTATATAAAAAGGTTTATGTTCGATCTAAAGCTCAATATAAATTTAAGTATAAAAGATCAGAAAATTGGTTGTATCGCATAACTGCTGAGCAAATAAATTTGACTAAAATACGACTGATCAATTTTGAATCACTTTTTTTCATTCTACTATGTATATTTCTAACTATTTTAATATAATACCACCTAATCAGTATAATTTTCATAGATATTATTGATATTATATTAAACAAACTGACTTTACGTTTTTATTTCAAAAGAAAGCAAATACTTTAGAAAAAATCTGAAAACAATTTTGAATAATAATAGTAATTTGGAAATAATTAAAAATGTCAAAAGTCTAGAAGAAACTTTTAAGGTAAATACAAACATCAGTATTTTAGCGACCTTTTAAGACTGAGAAATTGGATAGCCCAGTGATAAACTTTTTTGTGAAATCCTTTTTTTTGTAATTATAACTGGTAAGATAGTATAGAAGTTCACAGAGCCTAAGACTCATACAACTACGGTGGACTTCTTACGCATAGCCTGCTTTATGATCTTACGTGTTCATAGTAGTTTACAGAAAAGTAGTATGTGAAATTTTTAGTAATTCTAGGAATTTCAACAACTACAGTGAGTTTCTTACGCATAGCCTGCTTTATGATTTTGTATGTTCGTTATTTTCTGCTTTACTAGTGAATTTTTTTTTTGTAATATTTATAATATTTATGTTCTTTGTAAGATCACTGAGCTAGATTTCAGGAAGTTAACAAATTCTGAAACAATATTGAAATGAATATTTACATGAAAAATTTAGTATAAAAGAGAGGAAATTGCAATTAGATGAAATAAACATTTTATTCTTGATACTATTTAGATTGATATGATTAATAATAAAATTGAATTCTAGTTGAAAATAACTTGTGTGATAACTTAAGTGGCTTCAAAATTAATTGCAACGGTAATAGAAAACGTTGATACAAAGCTGATATGATTTATTTTCATATAATATATATAATTTGCGAGTAGAATAATAAATTTAATATTATGTTTTTGTTACTTTAGCAAAAATCTAATTAAAAATATAGTTTATCTGATATATCAAAACCTACTAATGGAATTAAAAATGGAACAGTTAAAAAGGTTAGTTCAGAATAAATATAAGTTTAGTCTGCAGAAATACTTTAAACATTTCCTATTTTTGGATGTGGCAGATTAAAATGATCTAAGAGCTATCTATATCTTCTTTCATAAATTACGATAATGAAACTGAGGAACAAGATGAATAAATTGAAATAGATTTTATAAATATTAGGAAACAGTTAGAGATAGAGCCGCTTATTGAAGTATGTAGTAGGTTGAATGAACCTGAGAAAAATGCAGCGAAACTGAACATTTCTACCGCATTTTTAATGCTTTTTACCTATTTAAGTAGAAGGTTAGCAATATAAATATCATATAGAATTTTCGTGAGTATCAGTGAAGTGTTATTGACAAAATGATGAAGTATAGATTAAAGTGGAGTGACTCATATGAGATTTTGTAAGTATTATGAGATAATATAAAACTGAAGAATAAAATTGCATTTTTACTATTCAAATAAATTTATCCTTTATATTGTATTTTAGGTCATTTATATTGGTCATTGTCCTTTTTTGACTATGTCTGTATTTAAAATTTTTTACCAACTATGAATGAGACCAAATAATTTGAACAAATTTATATGTGATCTAGTATCCTATAATACTATTATCAACCTTAAATATTCTTCATAAAGTAGCAATAATGTATTTAATAGAAAAAAAAAGTTATATACAACCTGATAAATCAGAACTGAGCAAAGCTGTTACTCATATGTTTAATAATTTGTATGTTGACTTATATTTCATCTTTGTCAGTAATTGAAAAAGAAAGTTTGAAGATTATATTAATATTTTAACAAATTATAGATGTGATATCCCTATTCATTCTTTAGTCAAAACTTGTGAATAATTGCACTGTGATAAATTATTATATCCCTATATAGACTCTTTATTTTTTAGATGACTTGCAAAATATGAAGTTTGACTTAATCGTATAATAAGTAATACATAGAAATTTTCTGACTTCTCTTGTGTTATTGATAATATACTAATACTTAATTCTAAGTTCAAACCGCTTAGAGTAATACTGTTTAAAAGAAAGAAAGATTTCATGAAAATATATTTAAGAGCAAAAAAGTTAATAAATCAACAACTGAACTTAAAAGGTGGTCTTAGTGAAGCAGGATTGTTAATGAATATGGGTATTTAACAAATTGTTAACTTTTATTTATACACATTTTCTATAGTTCCTGCCAAAAGTAATGGCGGTGAGAACATTATTTCATTTTTTAACTGCAGTATCTCCATTATCCTGATTTGATCTATTGTTTATTAAGCCAAATTAGGTATTGGAATATTTATTTAAAAAACAAATACACAAAAAACAGGTTTTAAAATATTATTTTACTTACCTTTACTAAAATGCAATCGACATCTATAAAGAAAAATCGCAAAGTTGTAAAGTTTCTTTAGAACAAAAATGTTCGTAATGCAAGGAAAATTTTTACCTGAACTGGAGTTCCTTTACGCTCTTGTGAAAGATATGTTACCTTTTTGCAAAAGAATGATAACATTCCTGACATTTATCAACCTGATCGACCATGAAAATTGACCTCAAAAAATGCCGTAAAATCAGAAGAATCATCAAGTATGATCATTTTACTATAGTAGGAGAATTGAAGGTCATACTTGAAGAAAGAATACAAATTTAGAGGTCAGTAAAACAACTATCCAGCGAGAACTTCATGATCTTAATTATGTATCAGTTCTTTTCCAGAAAGTCACTCTATTGATCTAGAAAGCGAAAGACAATTGCTTATCTTAGGCACATGACCACTTACATTACAATTGGAAAAAAGTGGTTTTTTCTGATGAAACTACAATTCAAATGTTTTGTAACACTACCTGCGCATGGTCTAAAGATGAAAATCCCATTCAACCCATGATTAAACATCCTTTCAAGATGCATGTTTGGGCTGCGATCAATGTCAAGGAAAAATCGGCATGCACATTTTAAAGAAAATCTTAATTGTCACTTGTATCGCAAAATTCTTGATGATTATCTCTACAATAATGCAAATAGATTATTGGGTCATCGCTAAATTTTTTAGCAAGATAATGATCCAAAACATACTTCCAATGATGTTAGAAAAGACTTGAAGACTCACCTTACAAATCAGGTTCTTCCATAGTCCTCTTATAGCCCAGACCTCAATCCAATTGAAAATGTTTGGGTCAATTTAAAGAAAAAAATTGAAAAAAAATTGAAAAAATGGTAGCACAAAAAAAAGAAAATATCAAATGACATTTTTATTAATGTAATTCGTGAAGAATGGGATAATCTTGATAATTCTGTTTTAATTAACTGCATCAATAGCATGCCAAATCGAATTCAAGCATATATTGACGCAGATGGAGGAAATACCAAATATTAATTACTTAATAAAACTTATAGCTATGGTTTTTATCTTTATTTTAAAAAAATTTTAACTTAGGTTTGATATAAAATTGCATGTATAAGGTTAAAAAAACTGTCCGCCATTACTTTTGGCGAGGACTGTAAATCTAACACATTCATATGTTCAAGGTGATGAAGTCGAATCTTTTTTTATGGAATTAAGATCCGGATTATACTGTTCTTGGTCCTTTCTCAGAACTAGATTATCAATCGATAAGGCATCGATGCCATTAATTGAATCAAATTTTTGCCACTTCATGGCGGTTGAGGTATACAATATTTGTCCTATTTCATAATTTATAATGGAAATCCATTAAGTTTACATCAAACTTTTCTCATTTACAGAAACGAGTAAATAAACTTGCCGAGGATTTTAAAAGACGAAGTCAAGAATTTACACCACCTCTACAAATGCAATTTATGACAGAATTTCCCGATTCTCCACAACTGAGAAAATTGCTTGAATTATCATAAGAAAAAATAATAAATAATTTTTATATATTAATGCACCAGTTATGAAGTTTAGCAGTTATTTGTATCAATAAAGCTGGTCCTGGTACTCGATTTGCGTACATAATCGTGTTTATTTTTACATTTTTTTCTGGGATTTATTACAATGTATTGTTATCGATGTTATTTCAACCTGAGCGTTTCTCTATAATCATGTGACAAGACTTTCGAAATCTAATTCTCATCCTAATTATTGTGATTATGGTGATTTGCTTTATTATTAAAAGAATTGAATCTTATTACTGTTGCAGTATGCCCAAATAGAAAATAAAATGTTTGAATATTAAACTACAGTGCGAAACCTCTATAATAGGAACTTAAAAAAGCATTAATAAAATTTAATCCGCCTTCGTCAACGCTTGTTTAACTTTGAAAGTCGCCATTTCTTTTTTTTTCGTTAGTGTTTGACGGGAAGATGTGCTGCGCGATGTGATATCGCACGCAGATCATTTTCATATTAAAAAAATTCGTTTTTTTTAATATAATTTTCTTTTTTAATCTTTATATTTAGGCAACTCCTAGAAACAAAAAATTATACTAAACAATGTTTTCTTTTATATTAGTAGATATATTTGAATGTTTTATTTTGAGAAATTAAATAAAAAGAATTTAAATAATGATATATTTAATTATGAAGCAACAATTTAATTAACGTTTCTCGATAAATACCATTATTGTTTTGTCAGTTTGGGTGGCTTAGCGGTGGCTTAGATTAAAATTACAAATTCCGATCTAATGTAAACAATACTAGAACTACTAGATGTCTATTCTAAGAGAACTCCAACTTTATCATGGAGTCGGTTTCTGAACAAGACAAAAGTTTATACTTTGGTTATGAAGCTGCACCTAATAAGATCATCCCCTCAAGACAAATTTTTGTAATTGAGTATCCAGGTTATGTAAAAAGTGTTGATAAAGTTTTACAAACTTTAGGTGGTGAAAAAGGTCTCAAGAAGGTGAAAATTATTATTATTATTATTATTATTTGGAAGTAATAAATAAAGTGAGGGTCTAAATATACCATGACCGTACCTAGTTTCTTATCATGTATATCATGTGAATAATTTATCGTATGTTTTTTGTCTAAGGCTGTAAATGAGAGTCTTATGGAACTTCGTTTTAGACCTGATGATCCTTTTTGCCATCCTATTAACGGAGATGTCATACCAACATCGAATCTTTTGCTTAAAGTAACTAGACGCAAGAAAAAACGTCAAAATAAAAATATGAATCGCGGGGATGAAGGGAATGCTAACGTAAAGGAGGATGTCAAATTTGACATTTTAGGAATCATAAGTAAAACTTGTCGGTTCCGAGGAATGTCAGATTATCAATGCATCCCAAGCATAAAGCATCCTATACTTGAATATAGAAAGGCACTTGAGTCTTTGGATGGTATGATATATGTGTAAATATTTAATCCATTTTAAATTGTAAATATACTTATTCGATTTATTCAACATAGTTGATAAGATAATGGGTTTCGAATCTATTATAAATGATATAAAAGAAGAAAGCAATTTGCCACCCCCTTCTTTTTCACGCGTAGAATGTCCAATGGATTACGGGTATTTATTTACACAAAATGATAACACGATCAAGGACCGAGAAAGCTCCTAATAAAGGACCGCAAAATTCTAACAATTTTCACATATCGATATCACTCATGTGACCTCGTATACTTTACAGTATTTCATCTATATAAATGTAAGGCCAAATATTCCCTTGATGTCATTCGTTACTATTCATAAATTTAATTATTTTACGAATCAATTTTAACAGTTACCTTTATTAGAAGTTTTCTCGGTTCTTTGCAATTTCTATAATTCGTAATTTACAGCTCCTATCTTTCTTAATCCACAGATATCAACAAAATACGGCTGTTGTCAAAGTGTTGGTTAAAAAGAATGATGACCAGGTAAATCAGTGTAACTTTAGTAGAAGTGATCAAAGTTATCGAACATAATATTTAATTACAAATATTTCTTTCAATTAAGCCTCCATCTCTTAAGCTTATTAATCGAAGTCGTAGGAAGAAATTTATAGCGATATCAATTACATATGACATTGATAATATCCTTTGAGTCTATTATTGAGTTATATAAATCAAACAAAAAAAAAAAATAAAAATAAAGTGTATTCATTAGTTCCTTGACATTACATTACCTGTTCCAGAGGAGCCGCCACCAGAATCTCTAAAGAATATTGAACGAATACCTCAAGAAAGTATAGATCGAATTCGTAAGGTAAAAGAGTGAAAAATGTTTGAATCATAAATTTAAATTCGATTAAACATTATTCAGTTATTTGAAGAACGTCCAGTATGGACGAGATTCGCATTGGAAAATAATTTACCTCCAAATGATATAAGAAATATCAAAAGGTATTTTATTTACAATTACTTTGCTTTCATTAGTGAACAGGATTAAATATTAAATCTGCATGATACAGACTGTTGCCTTTGGTCGCGTATTTGATGTCAAACGGTCCGTGGCGTGATTGTTGGATGCGTTATGGATATGACCCACGATTAAATAAGGAAGCAAGATTGTATATAATCATTTATATTGTGTGTTATTTCTTCATTTTCGTAAATTTTTAACCTATTAATTTGTTTAGCTATCAGCTGCTGGACATTAGAAGCTCTCGAAGACCTACAAAACTTGGGCGAGCGAAACGTTTGCTTCACGTACGAGAGGAAGCCACAACGGAAAATGGAGGCACAGATAATTACAAGTAAGATTTAGTGAGCATTTATTTCTTGACCTTATATAACATCTTTTTAAACTTATAATACCATCAGTTCACGGACTTCACATATCTTTGATGGATCTTCAACATGTCGAGATGTTGCGGTTTTTCAAATATGTGACATAACTTATCCTTTGTTAAAAACCATTATTGAATCACCTGATTCTGTTCAAGACTTTTGTGATGTCAGCATGAAATTTAATTATTTTTTGTCACAATTTTTAAACTACATACATTCATTTATTTTTTATTATAAAAATAATGAATTATAAAGGAACATGATGGATTTTATAAACGTAGTGAATTAACAAAGATAAGAAAGATTATGAGACGAAAGTTCAGGGCATTAACTGAAGGTAAAGTATTAAATGACGAGAATTTTGACGACTTATTGAATGCACGTGATGATGAATCGGAAAATGATGATGGTGGCGAAGAAGACGAAGAAATGAGTGATATCGATAATGACGATCAAATTATAAGCAGGGTAAAGATTATTGAAATAAGGTTATATGAATTCAAAAACGAGATTATTGTTTTATTCAAGTATTATACATTATATTTAGGTTGATGAATTAATGCGTAACCTGCAAGCAATGCAAGGACAAGAAGGTGAATTATATATATGTGTATTGAAATTCGAACGAAATTTTCGTATTTTTTGATAATTTTTTTTTTTTACTTCTTTTGTAAAGATTTCGAACAAGGCGACGAGGGAATGTTTTATTCATTTGAGGATTTTGATAATTCAGATACGTTTGAGAACGAAAGCGATTATAATGAAGTTGAAGAAGAGTACGATGATTTTGATGTTTAATAAAAATCACGTGATGATATTTAAATCCTTGATTTTTGCTTGATGTTGGCCCGATTAAACCGTACCGGTTTCTTTGTATTTATTTAATACCCTTTCCAATTCATCCTGTTTTATTCTATGTTTAAAGATGAATTGGTTATTGATATGTAAAACCGGAATGTCATGCTTATATTTTTCAAACCAATCTGAATTCTCCGGAGCTTTTATGTCTTTTTGTTCAAAATCGCAAGGAATCTAAGAAAAATGCATTGTAAGTGATATTAAATTTTATAAAAAAAATTTAGAGTTGATTTAATTACTTTTTTTTGAACTTTCTCAATGGTATATTTTGCATCAATACAAAGCGAACAAGATTTTGAAGTAAATAAAGTTAAAAGGATTCGACGCGATGGCGAAATTACCATTTTTCATTGGTTTCAAATTTTTTTTTTTTTGGTCCATAAAAATATGTATATATATATAATCAAACGAGTCTTAAAACTTGTTTGTTTTGTAAATTAAGGTAGACACAAAGTAATAAATAGTCACACATTGCGCAGAACTTGGCTGATAAACAATAGTTACCATTTCTTTGTTTGTCATGTCTTTAAAAAAAAAAAGATCAGTGGTAGTACTTTATCAGTGTAACTTTTTTTTCCATGAACTTTAGGCAAAAAAAAAAAAAATAAAAAAAATTTTCTGCGACTGCGCATCATTTGTTGATTCGCTTATTAGCATTACCTTTTATAATAAACCCTTAAGGTTAATTTAATTTCTTTTTGGTCTTTAATTGGATAAAATGACGATCCGATAGTAGATAAAATTGATAAATGGCGTTTTTTCGGAATTGTTTCAGATGTGTGAGACTTTCGTACAACAGAAACGCCATCGACTCATGGGTTGTATTGTTACACAGATTGAAAGACTATATTTTTTGATGCGATTTTGGGTATTCTTAACGCTACCCAGTTTTTTTGCTGACCTCTTGTAAGCAAAACGAAGCATTTGTTCATCCGTAATAAGTTCTTTGTCCTGCCCGTGGACTTACCAAAATCAAAGGAGCCTTCAGTCCGTCAAGTCCAAATAGGCATCCATTTCTAGAATCAGTAAATTTCCCTTCTAGTATCCAGTTAGAAGGGATAGATTTTTTTTTTTTTCTTAACGACCAAAACGAACGTTACTTCATCCACATCTGACCATCGAACCCTTTACAAAGAGATAATAAAAATATCCTAGTTTATTCTTGCAACATTTTATTTATTATACACGTGCCATAAGATTTAATTAATATAATGGCCGAAGAAAGTACACCTGTACCTGCAACATCTGTTACTAATGAGGCCGTGACCCTTGTTACTCCTGCTGTTGAAGTTGAAAAAGTCTCGGTTACTGACGTTGCTCCCAGGGAGGAAATCAGAGAAGAAGAAGTCGAGCATAAAGTTTTTGTAGGAAATTTGGCTTTCTCAACAAATGAACAAGCATTAGCCGAATTTTTCAATCAAACTGGCAGAGTGTAAATAATCTTTTTATGATTCTTTGGTTTCTTTATTATTTTGATCAAATATTTATTTATAAATTAATTTATCCACTGGATGGTTCAATTAAAAAGATATATTATCCCAAATATTAAAATTTTATTTGGTTACACAATTATTTTAATGATATATCATTTGATTTAAATAATAATAATAATAATAATAGTTTACTCATGGTACATGGTATTCTAACCTCAACAAATTATTTTTTTTTTTCCCTTTCATCAGTGTCAAGGCCAACATCATTACTCGTGGCTCACGTTCTTTAGGATATGGTTTCGTTGCTCTTGAAACCGAAGAAGACGCAAAGAATGTTGTCGAACAATTAAATAAGCAAGAATTAGATGGCCGTCAAATCAATGTGGAAGTTGCCAAACCCAAAAATGAGAGTTCTGCTGCCACTCATCATAATCGTCGTGGTCGAGGAAGATGGGGCCGAGGTAGAGGAAGAGGACGTGGTAGGGGTCGTGGACGAGGTAGAGGTCGCGGAGCATGGGTAAGTAAAGTAATTCATGAGTAATTTTTATATTTCTCCTTAAATGTTACAATTCAACTTGTTTACGAGCATTTGCATCCTAATTTTATATAGTATAATAACCGTCGTCGATATCCGAGTCGCCCTGCAGAAGTTAGCGGCGAAAATAATGCCGAAATTAATGATTCTACAGCGGTTACTGACGTCCCAGCTACAAATGGTACCAGCGAAAACGACAACGCACCACCTAAAAGGCGTGGCAGGTTTCCTTATCGGGGACGTGGCCGCGGTCGCGGTCGTGGTCGTGGCGGGCGTCGTCGTCCTCCCAATCGAAGTTATTTAAAGACTGGAGAGCCATCCAAGACGGTTGTATTTGTTGCAAATCTCCCATTTGCCATCAATGATGATGGTTTAAAAGATATCTTCAAAGATTATAATGTAGCTTCTGCTCACGTTGTTTACCGTCGCGGTGGACGTTCAAAGGGTTTTGGTTTCGTAGAATTGGCTGATGAAGAAGAACAAAAGAAAGCTCTTGAAGGATTAAAAGATGTTGAATCAGAAGGTAGAGTGTTGGTCATTAAAGTTGCATTGAGCGACCAACATGTTCAACCTGGTGGTAGTGGTAGTGGTGGTGATGACGTTACTATTGAAAAGCCTGAAGCGACTACTTCCAATGAAGAGAAGAAAGAAATTGATGTGTAAAAAAAAAAAAAAAAAAAAAAAAAAAAAAGATTCGCACAAGATTTAGCAAGAGTCATTGGTAAATTCTCTTGTTGAATAGTAAAAATCATTGCCTTTTTTTTTCTTTATTGAGTTCCTTAGATTTCTAGTAAATCAACATTTATATTTAGTTATGGTATATGAGCACGATTTTTATAATTATTTTTTTATTTTTGGTATGTTCTTATTTTTCATACCTTTATATATATGCTTCCATGTCCCATGCCCCTTAATCATTTTATTCTTTTTTTTTATATCCATTTTCTTCTCCCTCGACACCCTTCCTCCTTTATCATTTAATCATATATTTATTTATATAAAATATTATTTAGCAATTTTTTTGGGGCAGAAAAGGTTAGAAACAGTCGCCTTTTTTCTATTATATCCTTTGGTGATATATTGATCTTTATTTATGTAATGGAAGAACATATGTTTTCGTTTATATATGGTAATAAAATTGGCAATTACAAAAAAAATAAATAAAACAAAAAACAAAAACAACAAAAAAAAAACAACTTAAAAAGAAACACCATTATTGTGTATCTATGTCATTTATTTATTTATAAAATTAATAAAATTACAAAAATTGAGACTTAAACACGAACATTTTCATAACCACTTTGGCCTATTAACAGGAACCCCAACCAAATCTGTGTCAAATAATTCAATAAATTGTTCATTTAATACTCTAACTTTTGATCCAGCATAACGACGATATTCTTCAAAAATTGAAGTTAAATTCCATCTTTGTAGTTTACGAAGACATCCTACGATCGTACCTAAGATTATTTTTTCTTACAATTAATGTCGGAAAGATTAACAAAAAAAAAATTTATATATAAAATTTAATTGCCTTAATTACCAGTTCTATGCCTTCCCAAATTACACATTACGATCATTGGATAACTACGAGGGTTTAAAATAACTTCTAATGCTGCTAATACAACTTCCTCGGTAATTGGATCCAACGCATTGACTGAAGATATTACACCAAGGTGATGCCATTGGATATTTTGATCATCGATGAAATTTAAGCTAATGATCAGAAATAAAAAAATTTTTTTTTAAGTAAAATAATTATTTTACAAAAAAAAAAAAAATAAATAATTCAAATCTTACAATCTATGATTTGGATCTTCAGGAGCTAACCAAACCACAGTTTTTAATCCCAACTTCTCCAAAAAAGGGAAATTAAGTTCATTTGGTTGCCCTGACCTATAAAGATCTTCTTCTATCATACCATAATTCTAAAAAGATTAAAACGCGAACGTGTAAATAAATATATGAATAAAGATGGTGAAACAAAAAAAAAAATTTTTTGATCCGAACGTTTGTTTTAAATTATGTTTCACGAGCTCATTCTTTTTGAAATGCGAAAAAAAGAAAAGGACATACCAATGGTGGAATAAAGTGTTGTGAACTCATTTTTTTATAGTTGCATACGTTTCTAAATTATTGATAGATGATCGATCATCCAACATTGATTGATCAACATCTTTCAAATTTAATTTTTTTTTTTTTAAAAAAAAATGTCCCCACATTTAGTACAAATCGCTGAATTAAAAGGTATGATGATAATTTGTTGAAAATCAACTGCCACAAAAGATTCTAATAACCTTTCAAATGAATAGGACACGCTGACAGAGTTTGGTCTGTTTCTTGGTCACCTACGGGCAACGTTTTAGCTTCTTGTGGTGGTGATAAAACTGTACGTTTATGGGTTCCAACCTCCGAAGACAACCCCTCGGAATGGATTTGTACAAATACTTTGGAAGGTGCTCATAAAAGAACCATAAGAAATGTTTCATGGAGTCCGAGCGGTCGACAACTCGCAACTGCTAGTTTTGATGCACTTACTGGTATATGGGAACGAGATGACGCTGGAGGTATAAACAGTTCAAATTCGATATATATTCCCTTTATTAAAAATGAAATTACTAAGGAATTTATTTACTTTGTCAGATTATGAATGCGTCGCTACATTGGAAGGTCACGAGAATGAAACAAAGTCGGTTGCGTGGGCCTCGTCAGGTTCTTTAGTTGCTACATGTGGCCGTGATAAAAGTGTTTGGATATGGGAAGGTGATTACACAACGTTGACAGAATCAATTATATTCTTAACTCGCGCCTGACAGAAATTTATAATTACAAAGCAGCGGCAGATAATGACTTTGAATGTATATCGGTTTTGCAAGAACACATACAAGATGTAAAGATGGTTATATGGCATCCAACTAATGAAGTAAGAGTGTTATTTATTTTCAACAGAATATAATTTTTAAAATACTAATTGAAATTTATAAAAGTTATTGGCATCGGCAAGTTACGATGATACAATAAAACTTTGGCGAGAAGATGATGACGACTGGTATTGTTCAGATACGTTGGAAGGACACGAAAGTACAGTTTGGGCTATTGATTTTGATAAAGATGGCGAGTATTTAGGTACGTATTTTATAATAAATCTTTTACAAGAATTGATTTTGTCGAAAGATTATATCTTAATTTACTTGTTATTATCGTTAAAGTATCCGCTTCGGATGATAAAACAATTAAATTCTGGAAAGGCTTTCCAAATGATAATCAAGAAGGGACGGATGCTCATCGAGGTCATTCTAAATGGAAATGTGTACACACATTAAGCGGTCATCATACGCGATGTGTTTATTCTGTGAGCTGGTCAAAAGTTCACGGACGTATCGCTAGTGGGAGTGCTGATAATGTTATTAGGGTTTTTGATAAATCTTCACCAAATGATATAAATCCTTCCAATTTTTCATTAGTCGCTTCAATACCTTCTGCTCATGGAGTTGCTGATGTTAATTGTGTACAATGGTATCCTACTGAAAGACATTCTGATTGGTTAGCTTCAGCCGGAGACGATGGAATTGTTAGAATATGGCGATTCGTTGAATAATTATAAAAGAACAGATTTTTAATTGTTTTTCTTAATGTAAATTATTTAAAACCCTTTTTTTTTCTCGTGTAATAACTTTTATGTATATTTAATATTACCATATAATACGGTTTGAATTGCGTGAAAATTGATCAGTGTGATAAAGAAAACAATCTTTACTGTAACATATTATCCAATCATTATTCGAAAACCTCTCAAATATCACCAAAAAAAAAAATTTTTTTTAATTTCCATTATATATAATATCAATCATTTAAAAAAAATAAAGATCTTCCTCTTTTACTCATTTGACTCTGTATCGAGTAGAGTAATAAATAAACCGCCAAAATGGTATTTAAACGTTAAGTTCGATAAATGTTTTATTTTAGAGAATTTATTTAGAAATAATTTTTATTTAAATAGGGTAAAGTTCACGGATCACTTGCTCGTGCTGGTAAAGTCAAATCTCAAACACCTAAAGTCGAAAAGCAGGAAAAGAAAAAGAAAAAAGCCGGACGAGCCAAGAAACGTATCTTGTATAATCGTCGGTTTGTTAATGTAACTAGCATAGGAAAACGAAGGGTAATTACGATGATATTTAATAATATTCCATGATTTTTTTTTTTTCTTTTTTAAAAAAAAAAAATTGCCGTTAATTAATGCTTTTTTTTAAAAAATAATCCTTTAGATGAACCCTGCTCCAACATCCGATAGACCTTAATCTTTCCTCACCCACATGATTCATTAAAAATAATAAAAAAGTTCAATTAAAAAAAATTTCATAATTAATATTCGTTGTTGGATTTGGTTGAAACCGTTAGAATCATTTTATTTTATTTTGGCGGTTAACTTATGTTAATTAATAAAAGCTTCTTTTTTTAATGGTTTGAAATTTGCGAAAACCATATTTGGATTTTTATTATTCTTAAATCTGATTTGTAATGAAATAATAATTCAATTTGTATAAAGAAAAACACAATTTAAGTGTTTATTATATTTATTTCAATACGTAATTTTTTATTTTTTTATTTTATTTTTTTTTAATAAAAAAAAAAAAAAAAAGATCAGAAACAATTATATTAGATAATACATCAATGAACATTTATTTGAAAAGAGAATACCAGAGTATCACGTTAAACTTACCTTTAAATATGTAAGAAAAAAAAAAAAAGAAATGATAACAATGATAAATCAAACAAATAATTTTTTCTTTGATATAGATGATTGTTCATTATTTATTTCCTCATGATAAAAAAAAAAATATTTTTTTTTTTTTGATCCATTAGGATAAATACCATTAAATCCAGCCAATTCTAAAGTTCGATCAAAATTATTCTTTACATAAAAAGAATAATCGCGAACAATTCCAAATTCTTAACCTTTTGTTTTACGTTTTCTTTTATTTTATAAAATCCATGATCATTTTATAAACGTCAATTCCAAGTATAAAAAAAAAAGAAAAAATTTAAGGAAACAGGTGATGAGATTACATGTTTAAGGTGATGGCAAGGTCTCAAATCCACTATATTTCTTTTCATCGAGTAATTTTCCTTTTTCAACCCAGAGTAACTTGTAAGAATTTTTAATCGTTACTTCAGAAACTCCAGTCACTTGAGCGACATCTTTTGTTGACTGAGGTTGTTGATATAAACAAGAAGCCATGTATATACAAGCTGCCGCGACGGATACAGGGGACTTTCCAGCCAATGTACCAAGTTCCTTTGTTTTCAAAGTTAGTTCAAGAGCTGCCTTTTGAACTTCCATTCGGAGATGTAACATGGAGCAGAAACGGGACATCAAATCTTCTGATGTCATTGTTGATACATTTGTTTCAAAAGTACGAATTAAAGTTTTAAAACATCTTCCAATCTCTTTTTTAGGAACTCGTGTGATGGCACAAATCTCCTTGAATGTACGAGGTACATTTTCTTGTCGACAGGCAATGAAAATACAAGCGGCAATAATTGATTCAGTGCTTTTACCACGTAAAAGTTTCTCTTCTTCAACTCTCTTATACAATTGTTTCGCTATATCAGCGATCAATTTTGTTAATCCAATAGCGTCACTCATCGCTGCAATCTCTTTATATGCTTGAATAAGATTTTTCTCGCCCTTCACTGCATTTGCTCGTCCATGAACTTTATTAAGGTCTCTGGCCATTCCTGAACCCCCATCCCTTCTCGAAATAACAGTATCTAATTGAGCACCATCAAGAAGTGGATTCGCGGCCGCACCAACACGGGAAGGATCATCACCTTCGTCATTAGCAAAAGTTCTCCATTCAGATCTTGTATCAATTATACGGTCCCCAAGAACTAGACCACAATCCCCACATACTAAATCTCCACTTGCAAATTCTTCAACAATATTTGGAACTGGATTTTTACAATCGGGGCACACTAAACGAATGTTAAGATCTGGCAGAACTGCCTTAGGTCCCTGTTCCGTTGCAGGTTGAAGACGTGGGAAAGGAATATTTGACATCTAATATAAGTTTCAAAACGTAAAGTTATGAATATAATGATAAAATTTTTGTGTATAAATATTTTGAAAGATGAATCATTTTTATTTACAAAACCAATTAAATACGTTATATATTTTATTTTTTTTTATTTTTACAACCTTAATATTTGGAAGGATGACTACATATAATAAAAACTTTATATATCACATAAACGTCGTTGACCTTTCATACTTTACCTTTTTATTTCAGGCTGTTAAAGGTGAATTAGTAGGAGTGTTGGGTACACGAAACCTTTAAATGTTAAAAGCTCGTTTTTCTATATAATTTATATATTTTTTCAAGCTAATATTAATTAATAAGCTTAAACGAGCAATTAAACCATCTCGAAACAATAAATGCTAACATAATGCTAGCATATTTTATGATCCCACCTTTAATACCTTGCTCCTTTTTAATTGATACGCTTTCACTATTCTTGAACAGTTAAAGATAGTCAAATAGAGAAGTGAACTTTCTGAAGAATTTTTATCTTATTTGAGGCTTAAAAAATGTAAAAAATGTAAAATTTATTGATTTAATTGATTATTATTTAATTCGGCCGCAGTTTTATCCAGACCACTAATTTCACGTGACCTAAAATACCTTGATAATATATATAATACACGACACCTAATTTCCATCATATTTAAATAAAAAGCTTGAATGGCTTTTTCCAAAAAAAAAATAAAATTAAGACTTTCTTGTATTATACAAATTTCAATCCTGTTTCTTTCTCCATTTCGATTTTATCCTCAGGAGAAAAAAAGTCATCTTTCGTTAAAGGGTGACTAAAACCTGGTATATTTTTGATGTAATCCAACTCATTAAAAAGAATGTCATCTACATTTTCCAGACATGAATAATCATTATCTTCAGCAGATACTTTTAATTTTTTCTTGTTATCTACTCCGTAATCGTAATGTTCATCGACAGCATCCATCATAGCTCCCAAGTTTGCTAATCGATCGGCCTCTTCGTTTCCTAAAACGCCAGCATGCCCTGGGACATATTTCTAATTACATTTATATATATATATATATATTTGAAAGGAGAAATGAAATTCAAAGATTCAAATCAAAAAAAACAAATAACAGATCAAGAAAAAGAAAAAAAAAAAAAATGTAGAAATCGACATTACAATCGTTACTTCTGCATTACGTGCTCTCGTTAATTTTACTAATCGTTGAAAAAGTTCTTTATTTTCAACATCTTTATTATTTGCCGTCTTCCATTTATTATCCTTTTCCCATCTAGGTATCCAGGAAGTATATGCTAATTAAGAAAATAAATTTATTAACAATGATTAATAAATTTGATATACATCATGATAAGTTCTTACCATTGATTGTATATTTGCTGTCTGTTCTTATTTCCAATGGTACATTATTGTCCGGGCAAGTTTCTAAAGCACGTATTACTGCCTAAACCGTGGAAAATTGCCAATCGATTAGAATTACTTGAAAACAAAGGTTCAAATTTCTTATAGCATATTAACCATAATTTCGGCTCGATTATTAGTTTGTCTGGGACCCGGTAATCGTTCGCTGACATTACTATAATCATTGAATATTACTGTCAATATTCTTAAGATTACCGATGATGAAAGAAAAAAAAATTTACCGAGGATCATTTTCACCCCAATAAACTCCCACACCAGCCCTTGCCTCATCCTTTCCGTTAGAACGTGCACTTCCGTCAGTCCAAACTTTGAGAGATTTTCTGTTGCCAAGGTTATATGTTTGCTAGATGATTCGGTTTGGGTTAATAATAATTGTAATAAACACGATAAAATATATACGTATAAATATATCATACCGAATGTAAAGTTGATGGGATAGAGGTACTTTCCTTTTGTTTTTTTTGTCTAGACGTTTTACGTGAGATTTCTTCTTGAATAGATCAAAATAAAAATAATCAAATGAAATAATTAATTATTATAAACAGGATAAATAATGATCTATTATAAACCTTGTTTTTTAAATCCTTCTTTCACAAACGTTTCAGCTTCTTGGAGAGTCGTAAACTTTTTATATTTTGCATTGGGAAAATTCTTGATATGTTTCTCACATTCTTCCCTATAGAAAATGTTTGACCGCGAGTGTATTAACATGTATTATTTGAATAATTAGAAAGGTACCCAAGAAATCATAATTAAGGTCATGCTACTATGCTAAAATTTACATTGGGACATTATTGTGTATAGAAATTTACTCATTTTTGCCTTGTCTTGTAACTTAATAAAATTCGTTAAAAAAGTTAGAAAAACAGTCGGATATGACCTCAACTATAATCATCCGAGTCCTAATTATATAGAAACCATCTCACCTACCAGGATAGATAAACTCCCGGTAAGCGACCAACGTGAACCGCATAAAACCCAGATTTGGATTTGGGCATTTCAGTTTTTATGACGCTGCGTATTCTCTTATGAGGAGACGTGTTTAACTTCGTGAGTAAACGGGATTGTCTCAAACTCTGATCTGAAACAGATAAATTTCGCGTTCGGTTCTTTGAAGTTGTTTGCTTTGCCGTTCTTATACTATAAAATCCTTTTCCCTTAAAGAAACTATGTAATAGTGATCTGACCAAAATTCTACCCATTAATAATTAATTTTCAAATCTTATCATCGATCATCGTTGACCAAATCTGTTAGGTTGGATGTTACACGTCACATTTCGTCCAATAGGAGAAATTATCGTCTTTTTGGTATTTCTCAGTTTTATATATCTGTCTGATAATTTTCTTCTCTTCAAAACGCTATCGAGAATTAACGCGCAAAAATGATGGAAGAAAAAGATAATGTTGCTAAAAGGAAGCGTACACTTGATATTACGGTCGAAGCGCCTAATAACTTAGATCTAGAGACTTACATTTCAAATTACAGAGGTTTGCTACCAGTTGTAAAGTCTCCTTAAATATTAAGACGATCTCAAAACTTATTTTGTCACTATTGATTTCAGGGCATACAAAGGTTGATCGTTTGCTTTTTATAGCAAAGCGATGTCCTATACTTCAGAATGACGCTTATAGACTTGCCTTACAAGAATTACGCGACAATTCTCTTGATCATAACAGATATATTTCAGCTGCTACTAAACTTAACGAAGCTTTGACAGCTAAAGGTTACCCATCTTTTTCAATTGATAATACATGGGTAGACTCAACACAAAAACGTGCAAAATCTTTATTGGAAAGGTTGGAAGTTGAATTAAAGAATTATAAAAATAATCTAATAAAAGAGAGCATAAGGGTAATTACATTTTCACATTAGAATTTAATAATTGGATTTATTAATGATTTTTATTCGGTTTAATTCATACATAGATGGGACATAATGATCTTGGGGATCATTATTATAATTGTGGGAATTTGACAAATGCATTGAAATGCTATTCTAGAACTCGAGACTATTGTACAACAGCCAAGCACGTTATAGAAATGTGCTTGAACGTTATCAAGGTTTCCATTGAATTGGGTAACTTTTCTCATGTGCACAGTTATGTTATTAAAGCAGAGTCTACTCCCGATATTCAACCGGTTGTACAGGCAAAGTTGAAAGTTGCTGCGGCTTTAGCTCACCTTGATAATAACAAATATAAGTTGGCTGCTCGATTGTTCTTGGAGACAAGCTTTGAGATCTCTCATGCAGCAAATAATTACTCTGAGGTTCTTTACAAATATTAATTTTATTGACCATAAACATCTGTTCATTTTTAACACGTACATTATTATTACGCATTGCAACCATAGGTCATTTCTCCAAATGATATAGCTGTGTATGGAGGTCTCTGTGCTCTTGCTTCATTTGATCGATCAGAACTTAAAAGCAAAGTTATTGATAATACCGAGTTTAAACAGTTCTTAGAACTTGAACCTCATATTAGAGAGCTCATTCACGGATTTTACAATTCAAAATACTCAGTTGTATTGGATATTTTGGACAAGTGGAAGGTAACGATACGAATAATTTTTTACTCTATCTGAATCCAATATTAAGAGCTTATGAATTTATTAGAACGATTACTTGCTTGACCTTCACTTGCACAGTCACGTGGAAAACCTTTATGATAATATTCGTAAGAAAGCTTTGGTGCAGTACTTTAGTCCTTTCCTTACAGTAGATATGAACAAAATGGCACAATCTTTTGGAACTAACGTGCAAAAGTTGGAAAGAGAACTTGCCAAATTGATCACAGAGAATCATATTCAAGCGCGAATTGATAGTCATAAAAAGGTAAAGAAAAAATAAATAAAATTCTAATATGTAAGTAATTATTACAACCAAAAGGTAACGTTTTAAATAATTTTCTTTATCATAGATTCTATGTGCAAAGCAACAAGACCAACGAAGTGGTATATTCTATAAAGCTTTGAAAATGGGTGATGAATTCGAACAGAGCACTAATGCTATGTTGCTTCGCATGAATTTGTTGAAATCTAATCTCGTAGTGTCGACTAATCAAAAGTAGATATTGTTCCTCTTTTAAGATTAATTTATTTACATAATTAACGTTTATTAATAATTTGGATTTTATAGAGGTGACAGGCGTCACAATTGATAAATAATATAATTTATAAAGGTGAATAGATACAATTGTTTTTTAAAATTTATCGATTTAATTCATCCAAGATTTTCTTTGCACCCTGTACGATCAATCTATGTTCCACATTATGAATTCGTGTTTCTAAATCATCTAGCGAGTCAGTTTCCAATATTGGGACTTCTTCAATTAATAAAGGTTCACCTTTATCTACGTCCGGAATGACTTTATGGACCATGACGCCTGTTTTTGTAATATCACCTTTCTTAAATGCTTCATAAGCTCTTTCAATGGAATTCGTACCTTTAAGACGAAAATTTCAAAACATATTAAAACGAATTAAAGTATAAAAACGAGAAGTTTGGGGGAAAAATAAATTACCATCAAATTGATTTGGTAATGCGGGATGTAAATTTATAATAATATCATCAAAACATTTTAAAAATTCATCGGACAAAATATGCATCCAACCAGCCAAAATAATTAAATTAGGGTTATATTCTTTAATCTTCTTAGCAAGGTCTAAATCATATTCTATACGAGTTTTGCCCAAATCTTTATATTTTTTTAAAGGAAAAGTTAAAGTAGGAAGTCCTGCTTGGGTAGCTCGAGTTAAGCCAAAAGCGGATTTTTTATTCGATACCACTAAAACAATTTGTCCTTCAAGAGTTTTTGAATTAATTGCATCAATTATTGCTTGTAAATTTGAGCCATTACCAGAAATTAACACAACAATTCTTGGAGGCATTTTTCTCCAGGAAAAAAAAATTGAGATTTAGATAATTCTTTTTATTTTAGATTTCGGTTACTGACCCGTCACGTGTATTGAGGATGATCAGGTCAAAATAGTATCGTCATTCTTTTTTATGTACAGTGGGGTATCAAAAGTCACCGGGCACTTAAAAATTAGAAAATCGACGGAAATTTTGACCTCAAATTAAACTTTTTTTTTTATTAATTTAATCGACTTTGGTTGAATAAGCAAAGTTGTTTGTTTTAATGTTTTACATATATTTTAAAGTTTTTTTATAATATTTAATTAGAAATAAAAATATTTATTGTATATTTAATACAGAATTTTTGAATTTTAATACAAGATTTCAGTTATAATAAAACATTGAAATTATTAGTTGTAATACATTTTTTTGTTCTAAGTAAACTTGTTAAGCGTATTAAAAAATATATATTTGTCCAAAATTTCAGATTAATTGCATTTATATTCGTTGAGATCGTCTTGGTATAGTGAGTACTAATTATGTGCGATGTTAATCATTTTTTCAATTTTGAATCAAAATTTTAAATCAAGTTTTTTCCATAACCATCTTATTGATTTGAATAAAAATTTTTTTATTTGTTACACTACATTCTATATTTTATATTTCAATGAAAATTTATTTCCAAAATAGTTTTTATAAAAAAAAAATGACTACTCAGCGTAAAGAACTATCTGATTTTCAACGCGGTGAAATTATAGGTGCTTGGAAGTGTGGGTTTAGTGAAAGAAAAATAAGTGAGGTACTAAATTATCCAAAAAGTACAGTTCATGATGTTATTTTTATATATAAAAATGATGGTCTTGAAACACTTCCTTCTCAAAGTGGTAAACCACCTATTTTAACTGAAAGAGATATCATTATTTAATGCAAATTCTTAATAAAAATCATAGAACTAATATTAATGAATTATGTGAAAATTTTGTTACTTCTACTTCAACAAATGTAAGCCAAATTACTCTTAAAAGACATCTTCATAAAAATGGAGTTTTTGGAAGAATTGGAGCAAAAAAACCTTTTGTAAATGCAGCTAATAAAATAAAAAGATTAACATGGGCTAAAAATAGAAAAGATTGGAAAAATGAATGGGAAAATATTATTTGAAGTGATGAATCTCGGTTTGAAGTATTTAAAGGAGATGGAAAAAGATATGTTTGGAGAAATGCTCAAGAAAAATATGATCCAAAATGTCTTATTTCTACATTTAAATCAGGTCAACAGAGTGTTATGATTTGGGATTGTTTTACAAAGAATAAACTAGGTCTATTAGTCAGATTAGAAGGTAGAATAACAGCAAATATATATATAGATATGTTAAATAACTATTTATTACCATTTATAAATAGTTAGAAAATAAAAATAATTATATTTTTCAAGAAGATAATGCTCCAAATCACAAAGCAAATGCAGTAAAAAAATGGGAAGTAGAAAATAAGATTACAAGCTTACCATGGCTTACACAGAGTCCAGATTTAAATCCCATAGAAAATTTATGGGATGAATTGGATAGAAAAGTCAGAAAACATAAACCACTACCAAAAAATCAAGATGATTTATAGCAGATTTTGCAGAACGAATGGTTAAAACTTGATGAAAGTATTTATAAAAATCTTGTTGATAGTATGCCACGTCATATTGCTACTGTTATTGAAAATAAAGGCAATTCTACAAAATATTAACAATAAAATTATAAAAAATATATTTATATGATTAATATAAAAAAAATTTCATTCAAATTGATGCGATAATTTGTAAGTTATCTCAATTTAAAAATTTGATATAATTTTTCAAAAAATGATTGATATCGCAAATGCCTAGTGACTTTTGATATCCCACTGTACCTATGATTTATTTTTCATCATCGATAAGGATATGAATAAAGGAAACATTACTGAATTATGTAAACAATATGTTAAAAATAAAACAATAAATCTAACAGGTTAGTACGTTAGAATATTTAAAATATTTAAAATATTATAACAAACTAAAATTATCTTCTAATGCATAATACATAGAAAAAGAAGAAAAAATAGAAATGGAAAACTAAAATATGAATCTAGAGAAGCTCGGTGAATGTAATATTCTCCTAGTCTAAGATCCTATTCGATTTAGATTGCTTAATAAAGTTAAAAATAAGTTTCTGATGAAATTTGAAAAAAAAGTTTCATTTTCTTGAGTATGTGAAGGATTAGTGAATAAAAAAGAAGTTATCGTTGCCTTTATAGATCAATCAAAAGAGACATCTGTCCACTTACCAGCTGAATTTAAAAGCTTCCCTATGTTAATTTTCTATGAAGCTTTTAAATTATACTATTGTTTATTTCACAAAGACCTTATACCTAGCATAATTATTGATAATTTAGTTTAAATGCAATTATACTTTGTTCTTTATTTCAAATTTCTGCAGAATCCAATAAAACATTTATATTAACTGCAAAGCATAGAGTGAGTAAAATAGTGGTTTAACCAAAAATACTTGAGAAGTTATACGTAAATTATTATTTATTTTTTTTGGCAGTTTTTAATGACTAAGATTAACGCAAGTATTTGTGCTAAAGTCACAATGTATAATTTTATTAAAGCTGATCCAGCTTGTTATTTATTGATCATGCTTTTTGTGAAACAGTGAAAAATTTCAAAAATACTAAACGTACCATTTGGATAACATATTTAAATTCGTAGTATTAAGATCTCTGTAAATAATAATTATGATTTGTATAAATTAAGAATGTTGGAAGAACCTCTATAGGGTTAATACAAAAAAAGGTTTATAATACAAGTTTTGACATTATGGACAAACATTTGATAAGTTGACAGGCCTCATATTAGTATTCTATTTTATTTTCCTTTGAAATTATTTATATTTTAATCTATATATAGCTGAACATAGAAACTCTAATGCATCAGTATTTAATTATGATAGTAAATTATAGGAATTTGTATTACAGGAGTTATTAGTAATTAGGTATCTTATATAGTATCTATTCATTTGATTTTGGATAATATTAAAGAAAATTTAATAATGTAATAATCAATCTAAAAAAGAACTGAAGAAATCTTGAATTAAAGTATTTAAACAAATATAAAGCTTTATTTTAATTTTAATATTTTATGATTTTATATAAATTTTACAAATTTTTTACTATAGTTTATTTTAAAATAAAAAATAAATAAGATATATATTGTAATTCTTATTTATAATTTATACAAGTTAATCAAAAACTATTAGTATGCTATTTATAAAGTATATAAATAAGTTATTTATTAGAAAAAATAAATAGAAATTAACTTGTATTTTAATCATTTTTCTTAATTATTATCTTTTTTTTATGTTACATTTCCTGTATTTTTTTTTCATAATATTATTTATTAGATATAGTTATCACATTATACATATATAACCATAAAAATCAAAATTACATAAGTATTCAAGTTAAAATTTAATAAGCATTTTAAGAGTATTTATTTAAATATTTTTTACCAAAGCTTTTTATTATAATTTTTTCTTATAGTAGATTTATCTTCATATAATTTATAATTACTGCCAAACCTTCTCAAAATAATTTTGTTATACTTTTATCTATATTTTTAATATAGTTTTGACAGTTTCAGCTTTTGTTATATTAAAAGTAGTTTTGTCAACTTTTATTAAGAAGTTTTATCTCTTATCTATAATGTAATTTCAAATCAAAATATTATATGCTAAGTAGTAATTATAAAACTATAAAAATTTTATCACAATCATATTATATATAAAAATTTTTATTGATAAAAAAAAATAATACAAGAGTTGCGACTTTACTCAAGATACATAAAATTTATATAATTATTTTTTCTTATTTTATCTTTATATAATATTTCTTATTACAGATTCTTCACTAACTATTATTTGATTTTTTAATAAATCTGATATAATTTCTAAAATCTTTTTCATATTATTATACAATTTAATTGAATTGTTAAAAGTATACCAATCAGTAGCTAAGAAAATATTAAATGAGTTATTAATGTATAAAATAAAACTTTAATAAAATCATTTTCTTACTTGTTATAATTATACTATAAATATATTTATAATAAAAATTAAATATTACATCTATTTTTATTTTTTCTTAAGTATATTCAGATTTATCTATATCAAGAAAAATAATAAATCAGTATATAAGTAATATTGAAAAAATTCATAAAAATAAAATTTAATAATACTTACTTTACATAAATTTTATATTACTAGATACTCTTTTTCGTAACTAGTTTTTTTCTTTAGTTTTGATATTATTTCTTTGAGTAAATATTCTAAGATATTTTTGATTATATAATAAAACTAAATTGTTAATAAATTGCTATTATATAATATGAATAATTTATTGTAAGAGAAGCTTTAAAATTCAAATGTTTATAATAATATAAGTTTTATCATTAAAAGATTAATTAAAATATAATTAAAAATTTATTTACTAATACTTATTATTATATATGTATTAATATTTCAAAGAATAAAGTCAATAAGAACAATATTTACAAATAATAATAATTAGTTTTCTACAATCACATTTTGTTTAAAGTAAAGTTAAAAAATCAAAGTATGTATATTTCTTTTCAAAAATTAATATTATATATTACAATTAACTATTACATTATTATGCAAAAATTTGTGATATCTTTTGAAATATTTTATATTGATATAATAGTTTTAAAGTATTGATCTAATTAATCATTATTAGTATAATTTTAAATGCTTTATAAATTTTTCTATAATAATTATAATATCTAAACTTATATCTTTAATTAAATTTTTAATTAATTAATATATTTTTTATTCAATTATAATCTTTAAAAGAAAAAAGCTTATATATATGAAATATAAGGGTTATTTATTTAACCAATTTTTAATTTTATAAAAGTAATTTTATATTTGAATTTTTATAGACATTCTAATTCATATTTGATAATTATATTATCTTTCTATTTATAG